GCGCCGCATTCCAGTTCAGCGATTTCTGATTCCTGAATCTATGGAACCCTAGAACCCTGGCTCTTTTATTTACTCCAGTAACATACAAGCCTGGAACTTAGGCCAGTATTTAAGTGTCCAATGACATGAAACATTCTACTTCTCTTAAGTGTGTGAAATCTTTTTGAGGTCCTTGCTTTGGTGAATGCAACTGAAGAATGCACTTCTTAGAAACACAGTCGCTTCAATTCATCCTTGCTTTTCCTGACACAGGAAGACATTGCTCACAAAGTGTGGTAAGTCATGCAGAAGTGGTCAGAATTTGATTTGCAAAAGGAATAAGATGCAAATTGAAGAAAAAATGTAAAAATCATGAATTGAAAGAGGCAAGAAGGCTCAGTAGATAAAAGGCCTGAATATTTGGTTCTTTTCCTTGGCTGTGTCCCACGTGAACTATAAAATGTTTATGTTGAGGGAAATTGATGAAAGGCCTTGATATATTCAGTGCCAGGAATATCCATGACTTTTTGCATAAAATCCCTTGACTAACTGGTTCAATCCATCGTTTGTTAATTTTTGCGTTATGTCCGTTTGAGGCAACAAAAGTGCTGAGAGTTTAACGAAGGGTGCCTAAAAACTAACACGATGAAATTTTTGCTCGGTGAATACTGTATATTTTTTTTTAATTCTAGGATCTTTATTTCAAATCATAGTAAAGTGTCAAGTTTTGACTTGCACCTGAATTCAACATCCTGAACACTGCTGAGTGTGGCTACATGATGCCATCCATTGATCTTTTGAGTTACAATAACCCACCCACATGTGCGTCATGACAACGCTTGCGCGCACTTCAACGAATGAAAAGAAACTGCTGCTGGCAAGTTTCCAAAAACTGCGTCTGTAGGTGCATCGTTGGAAATGGCCTTCTTTTAGTGTTTTCTGTATATTGACACATTGATAGTTGAGTCCCATAACTATCTTTAAACCAAGTGCACATTGTAACAATACTATCTCCAGCTACTTTTTTGATAGCTGCAAATGATGGACTGTACCTTGAAAGAAACATTCAAAGCTCAGACAGCTCATTTTTGTGCATAGTTGGAACTGAAACGCTTTCCTGTTACATTCAAATCATCTAATGCCTGTCATTAAAGAAGTGGGTGTTGCATGTCTTGTGTTGAATTTCATTTTAGACAACCAGTAACCAGCTGGTCATCTTGAGCCAGTCATGCTAGACAACCAGCACCCCCAGTCGGTCATCTTGAGCCAGTCATGCTAGACAACCAGCACCCCCAGCCGGTCATGCTAGACAACCAGCAACCAGCCGGTCATCTTGCGCCAGATAACAGTAACCAGCCAGTCATCTTGAGCCAGATAACAGTAACCAGCCGGTCATCTTGAGCCTGTCATGCTAGACAACCAAGAAGTTGCCAGGAATGCGCATTCTTGCAAGCCTGCAGTAATCATGTAGTGGAATAGCAGAGGTAGGTGTCATACCAAATTTTGCAGGCTTTTGGACAGGCACTCTCTTGGTAGGTTTCTCCAACCTCCTGCATTGTTAAAATGAAGGCTGGTTTGTACTTAAGGGAATGAGAAAGCAAAGCGAATTTGACGTCACACAAGATTTGCAGCAAAGAGGTCCGTTGAGTTGAATTCTGTTCAACATTAGTGAATTCATAGTGTGAATATTTGATTTGACATCACAAATTCTCTTTTGTGTTCGTTTTCCTGCCAGCTATGAACTTTCCTTAATACAGGTACAATGTACATGTATTTTCACTCTGTCAACTTTCAACCAGAAAATGTACATCAGCAAGAGGATTGTTTGTGGTGGATTTCCTTTTGAATGTTCCGTCTGTAACAAACATTTCTCACACTCAACTACAATTCGTTTCCCTGGCCTTTTTTATTTTTATAGGTTTCAGTTTGTTAGACAGCAGTGGCCTCCATCGCCATGGAAACAGCTATTTCCAGAAATCCATGCAAGTTCTCAGTTTTCATAAAAAAGTAAATGCAAACAATTGTTCGTTGCTTATCAGAATGGTCTATCATCACACTATGCCTTAAGTTGTGACCGAACCTTACACAAGGTGTCGCAAGTTACGTTAAATAAACTGGCCTAATTTCAAGATGTAATTTGCA